TTGGTAGAGGAAAAGATGATTTTGATGGCACTGGTGATCCACATGTCAACCTTGTATGACCACTTTCCTTGCACCGACTACATGTCGATCTCTTCTTCTCTTCACCCTTAGACGGTATACGATCGTGACTTTTGGTCGGCCAGGTAGCCTTCTGTCCATGGCTGGTGGCAAAACTGTTTGTAAGTCATCTGGTATGTCCCACTCAGAAGGATGTGGAATAGGGTAGACAATCTCGGCATAAGTCTGTCGATAAACTTCTGTAGTGTAGCAATCTATAGCGTATGCGCTTGAATCATCTTGGTTTAAATGAAGAGCAACTTTTATAACATGGCCACACGGATAACCAGATGTTTGCCATTTCATACAACTACACGTCTTTGCATTTAGATCGACTAGCCCATTTAAGTTATTATCCAGTACTTGAAACAAAGTGTTTGAACATGGTTCAACTCTCCATGACGTTGACTTCACAACACGTTTCGTTATCTTTTTTCAGTCCATGGTGTAACACGATGTTCCAATGTTCCTGTAAATTTAAATAAACAATACTTAGTAAAATATATAAATATGATAAGTTACGAATTCAAAGAAATAATACCTGCATGGTTTCTTTTCTTGTAGTACCACTGTTGAATAGAGGCTCGAAAAAACTCCATTAACATAGTAATGGGTAATTTCCGGGAATGACGACTTAGAGCGTTGATTGATTCTGCACTATTAGACGTCATGAAACCATATCTTGCTCCAAGTTGATGTACTCTTGACCATCTTTCAAACCCGACATCTTCTAGTGTTTGAGCACACTGAGGCAAAACACGTCTTAAACAATTTATATGCTTATTGAAATCCACTTCCCGATAAGCTTTTACAGCCTTCCAGTATGTCCATTTGTGCTTTTTTATACCAGCAGACCTTGATTTTAGATTTCTATACAAATGAACACCACAAAGTCCATGAAAAGCATCTGGGAAACACCTTCTAACAGCGTTGTCAATTGAGTTTGCCCTATCGGATATGATTGTCAGATTGCTAATAGGACCTATGCAATCCCTAAGATGCCCCATAAACCATGTCCATGAATCAGAGGTTTCAGATTTGCCAACCCCGTAAGCTATTGGCAATATCCCATTGTTAGCATCCATGGCTACTGCTAATAAGTTTACTCCAAGGTATCGACCTTTCAAATGTGCTCCGTCAACTATAATAACTGGGCGCATGCAAGTAATAAACGAACGAATCTACAAAATAATATACACAAGAAATATAATCATTTAAATGTGAAATGCATGTAACTAACAAAAATGAGTCAACAAAATTATATTGATTTACTAACCGTAGCACCAATGGCGATAAACAGCAACTCAAAGCGTCCATCTCTATCTGTTTTGATATGAGTTACCGACCCAGGATTTTTCAGCTTTAAATTGTGACAATAAGCCGGCAGTTGGGCAAACGATGCTTCTGGCGACCCCCTCAACAATTCCAAGGCATAACATTTGGCTCTCCAAGCTTGAGAATATGATATACTAATCTTGAACCGAGCATTCATGTCAGTCATAATTTCATGTCCCCGATATACCCTGCCATTCAAAAACATTAACTCAGCCAGAAAACCACCCAACACCTTTTTGTTTGCCTGTCTATGGTGAGGAAAAACTTGGGTTCTTGAACATGTATGTTTATCAATAAAAGTCCTAACTTGAAACATTTTGCAATCTTTTATTCTCTTTGCAATCATACGCCACGTACAGTTTTTGTCAATCATACACCTTGTTTCGAAACGATCTTTGCTTGATTTGTTAACTTTTAGTTGATAGCCATCTTCCACACATTTCGTATATAAAGCTATCTTCAAGTCTTCCTTTGTATCAAAACAATCATCTTTCTTGATACGAATAACTTTTGTGTAACAATCAACTGCTTTCTTTATCAACTCTTCTTCCGGTATCTGAAGTAATTCTGGCATATTCCAGTTATACGCCCGTGGCATTTTCTTTTCTTCGGGGACTTTTTCTTCTTCTTTTTCTTCTTCAGGATTATATGAATTACAGAATGGATGTTCAACATGTTCATTCACAGTCGTAACTTCCTCCTCATTATCATCAACATTACATTCTTCGGCAACGGCTGTTTCATCATCAAAATTCGGGTATTGACCAATATCAATATCATTACACGCATGGTCTGTTTCTTCTTCTGAAACATCATCAAAATCCGTGTATTGACCAATATCAAAGTCCGGATATTGACCAAGACCAAATTTCGAATACTGACTAGTACTCACAATTTTTTCTGTTGGCTCATCATCGTCTAACTGGTCAATACGAAAACCGGAATTTGGTGCTGAAAGTTTATTGGGATTTGGATTAGAGAAAGGTTGTGGGTTTTGAGAAAAACTTAGTTGATTACTACCCGCTACTGACCCAACAATACTACTTCTAGGTTCAACAACATACAATGTAACATCATCTTGTGAAACACTAATGTAAGCAATGAATCGTTCAACATCTTCATTGTCGGTTAACAAATAAACTTTACCATTTCTCTGATAAGATAGCCTAAATCCACTTAGGGGCTCTAAATTCAATTTATTTGAAACACGTAGCATTAGAGTTTCATAAGTTAACTTTTGTAAAGACAATTTTAGTTGAAGATTTATGGGTAAAGGCATATATTGTAAAACACCATTAACATTATCCCATGACCCTCCAAAACACAAATCTATCCAAACATGATCAACATTAGATGATTTCATGGTTGTAACTAAACAAACGAGATGCGAAACTAAGACCTGTTGCCGGATGGGGAAGGATGTCGTTGGATATAGGAACGGATGTCGCCGGAGAGAGTGATAGATGGAGATGGAATGAGTTGCGATTTAGGGATTTAGTTTATGATTTCAGTGTTATATACCCAAAATTTCAGTGTTGTGATTTACAGATTCTCGTTGCGATTTACGGATTATCGTTGCGATTTACAGATTCTCGTTGCGATTTACGGATTATCGTTGCGATTTACGGATACGCGTTGCGATTTACGGATTATCGTTGCGATTTACGGATACGCGTTGCGATTTACGGATACGCATTGCGATTTACGGATACGCGTTGCGATTTACGGATACACGTTGCGGTTTACGGATACGCGTTGCGATTTACGGATACGCGTTGCGATATACGGATACGCATTGCGATTTACCCATACGCGTTGCGATTTACGGATACACGTTGCGATTTACGGATACGCGTTGCGATATACGGATACGCATTGCGATTTACCCATACGCGTTGCGATTTACGGATACACGTTGCGATTTACGGATACGCGTTGCGATTTATGTGTTCGCGTTGCGATTTTCATATTCGCGTTGCGATTATGGAAAATCGCAATGCGAATTTGTACTATCGCATCGCGATTTTCAAGAATCGCGTTGCGATTCTGGAAACTGATTTGCGATTCTGGGGATCGCGTTGCGATTTTTATTTCGCGTTGCGATTTTGTTGGTCATTTTGGCAAATCCAAAAAAAATTGGTTAAAATCGTATATTATAACTTTTTTTTGGTCACTGAGGCGATTTTCTCTTAAAATAAAAGGGAGCATTTTTGGAGCATTGAGGCAGCTTTTCATGGAGGACCACTCATTCACTCACTGGACATCTTTCTCGGATGTGACACTGCCTTTCCTTTAATCCTCGAAAGAACCTTTTTCCTAAGGAAGCCAGCAGACAACCTTTTCATTTGCACAGCAATGGTAGGAACCAGTAACTCTGTTATTGCCTTTGCTTTCTGCCAAGCCAGAACAACCTAACTTTTAGGTGTATGCTCCACCGGGTCGGATTGTATTTTTGACCCATTTGAATCCGTTCTAAAAATTAAAGTAATTTATTTTCATTCAACTCGATCCAGATTTAAGAGAGTTTTATTCAATTTGAAATATGATACGATATTTTAAATTAAAACTTACATTCAATCCGACCTAAATGTTTATTAAAAATTTATTTTTATTAGATAAAATAGAATGTAATTAAAAAAGTAAAATAAAAAAAGATATATTGTCTTTAATTATATATAAGATAATAATCATATTACTTCCGTCAAGTCAGACTTTTTTCACCTTAACTTAAATTCAACCCCATTAAATCACATTCTAAAAATTGGCGTTTCTCCCGAAATATCACCCTAATCCTATATATTTTTTGTCAGGCGTCGTTTAGACTATATTTCTCGATCTAACACCCTTTGCAGGAAGGCGCGGTGCAGGGGCGCGCCTTCCTGCAAAGTGTGTTAGATCAAAAAATATAGTCTAAACGGTGATTGACAGGGAAATATATAGGGTTAAGGTGATATAAAAATCAAACTCAAATTCAATTTTAAAATAAAAAATCAATTTAATCGAATCAAATTAAAACCTATCGGATCTTAATAAAATAAATATTCATATATTTCACCCTCAGATCAAGTTAAAATCTTCAGAATCCGAAAAAAATGAGCGTCCATATATTCAACCATCACCCCCAAGTTTAACAAGAACTTTGCTGCCACGTTAGTGAAATCATGCTCTATTAAATAAAAATTAGCTCACCCTATTCCCATATGTAATGGGATAAGGGGAGGTAGGATAGTAGACTGTTCCAACGTCAGGTTGAGAGTTGTTTCCGTGAGAAACTTCCGGCAGTCAGAATTATGAAATCATGCTCTATTAAATGTATTTCTTAATATATTTAAAATAATATAAAGCTTTCTGGGTGACGTGTTTGGCGTCGCTAAATCTGGTTAATGGTTATGGCAAGCAACCCCACCTGTTATGGGGCAGTCATAGTTCTCCTTTTTCATCCTTTTCCTCGTGTTTTCTATCTTCTTGTTTGATTAATATCCACATGTGCATGCTTAGGTGTCGATGTGCATGCTTGCATAAGCATGTTCACATGGAGTGTAAATCCATGACATGTCATACAAACAAAACATATACATGTGAATTCATGTACATTATACCTTAATTATTTATCTTCTCAACTCGCAACAGTAAATCACATGTAAAGCTAGTACAACCATATATTGAGGGGAAAACACGTACACATCTTCATCATGATCATCCCCATACACACAAGATTTTTTCAGAATTACTAAAACTACCATTAGAAAACAATAGGAAAGTGTTGATTGGAAAAGTTCCAATCTGGCTTGTCAAATCCTGCCTTCCAGCTTCGTTTCGGGCCCTTGTGTTTCCAATGGAACCTCTCAATCATGTTGAATAAGCCTTCGATTAACAGAAAATGATGCATAGATGATGATGAATCAATTAAACAAACGTGAAATATATATGAATGTGCTTTCATTCGACTTTCCAGGCATAGAGAAACAAGCAGAACCTGGAGGAACCCAATACTGCATTATCATAATCTCCTGATGCAGAACCAGGTTCTTCATTCGATGGAGGGGATGATGGAACCGGGTTAAATATGAAAAGGCCATGTCTCGGACCTGAACCGAAGAGCCAATCATGAACATCCCAGAAAACTTGTAATCCATTTTTGCCAACATTAATGGACTCGTTACCTCTGAATTTCCACTGCAGATGCTTAACTTGAACTGCTAGTACCCTGTCGACTCGTATTTCCAGTACCGGATTGATCCCGTCGGAGTTGCATTCGACTGAGATATCGTGAAAGGCTCCTTTGTCGCTAAACTTGACCCTCGTTGTGAACTTCCTCTTGCCAAATATATGTTCCCTCCTGGAGATTAATATTGGGTCAATAAGAGATGGCCTACAACCACTCTTTCTATAGGCATTTTTCTTTTGATCACCCAAGAGTAGAACGACCTCGTCTTGGCAAATGATGGCGACGTAGTAATCTGATCGCGGCTCGGTCTCGCTGTTGAATTTGGCTGCCTTGAGGTCCCAAACCACTTTCACGGTTGTACCGTCCACGATGAAATGTTTGGATCCTTGTTTTCTCCAGAAATACCATGGCTTGAGCTCAATTTTGCACCTGTAATGCTCATCCCCATCCGGTCCTTGAACCGAGACGGAAAGGCCGTGAAGTAAAAGATTCCTACACCATGTGACAGTAATCAAGCGACACTCACCGGCAAGCTTCGTTCGATACACTGACTTAAAAACGCTCTGCCCCGACCTGCCTACACTGGTCGGCTCATCAGGTTGCATCCGGTGATCTCTAGACGGAAAGCAAGCTGGGGTTCCTATGGGATCGTGCATGGTTAACGACCATGCTCTGATCAAAGAAAACTAGCTTTTCGAAATATTAGAGGCAGAGGATTAATCTATGATTGTCAACTTGTAAGGAAGAGAGTAATATATGTTATATAAGCAATCAATGAAATGCACAGGATAAGTCCTTTTAACAAGTGTCTGTCCCCCTTTTCTTATTGTTATCAACAAAAACACCTTTTTTCGATTTCTGTAAAGAAACTCGGATGAACCTCCAACATAAATTGTAAAACAGATAACTGCATCTATTTTTTTACCCTCCATCAAGCATATATTGTTGCTTCTAATGATTGCCCTGATCGGTGCCCATATTGGCCCTCTCCAAGGCCAGGCCAACTTCAACTGGAAAAGTAATGAAATAATTTTCCCACACTATTCAAATACAATCATTCTGACGATAAATCAATGTTTTCTATTCTGTATAGAAGGGAAACTGGGATAGCTTTTACTTACTTTATTAGCTATGGAGGATTATTGCAGCAGGCTATAATAGAATCTGATTCGTAATGGGATGTCGTTTTCCTCACAAATTTCCAGGCTGCGTTTCCCTATCAATGCTTGCACAGTTTCCCGCGGATGCATACTATTAAATTGTTGTCGCAACACAATGTAATGTTACGTCATAACACTTTCTAAGGCCAATGCGATATCGGAACCACATTCGTAATATAAATCACGTCATAACATTTTTCAATGTCAGTGCAATGCCGTAACTGCGTCCGTAATATAAATCACATTATAACATTCACAAGACTCACAACTATGTGCGGATATCCATATGTTTCGCTATATCTGCCGCTCACAGAAGAAATTGTTTTGCGCTATGGTTATTGGTTATGAGTGGAGACAGCATCTAAATTATGTATACTCACAGGGTCCTTGCAAGCCAGAAGAAAATGGTGGTGCTCTTCGTCTTCAAACTGGTGGACACTCAAATCTCTAATCTCAAACCAAGTTGAACACAACCCTAATTAATTCACCTCTAAACAGAAAAAGTCAAAATCACAAAATCTTCGCTCACACCTTTAATAATCTCACCCTCATCGGTCTCACCCACTTACTGACGTTCCGCCATCACCCATGATAACTCAAAGGAGAATCGACGACAACAAAGTGTTAAAAACCAATGGGTTAGGGGGGTGATGACGATGTAGACGACAACTACTGTCGATCTTGGTGTGGTGATCTTTGATAAGTCATTTAACGATATAAGGCTTAATAAAAAGAAGAAGAAGTGGTTTAGGGCTACCACCGTCAAGAGTGAGGATCAGTGTTGGATTGCGATTTGGGATTAAACGATGTTGCGATTTGAGGGTGAGATCATCAATGAGTTATTGTTTTAGGGTGAGACCGTCAAGAGTGAAGGTGGATATTACAATTTGAGGTTTAGAATTAAAGTCTATAGATTCATCATTTAGAATTTGAGTTGATATTAAAGTTTAGAGTTTGAGATTATGAATTAAGGATTTTGATTTTTTTATTTTAAAATATATTTGAAATTAAATAGGTTATAAATAATAACAAATATTAAAATAAGGTAATTTTAACCAAAATTCACCTAAAAATTAAAAAAATCAATTTAGCCCCATTTCTCGAATATGTATCAAACTAGCACCCTTTCTGACAAAATAAAAGGGAGGCACGTTTCACAAAACACGTCTTGTTGATGTGGTCCAAAGGCGCGTTGCAGGGGAAGCGATTTCTAGGGGTTTTGCTGATTTGGTGCCACGGTGGAGGGTGCGTCGTAGGGGACGTTCCTTTGAAGGCGTGTTGCAGGGGGCACACCTTTGAATACCTAGGTTTAGGTTTAGGGTTGATTGAGCGATTTAGAGGGTTTTTAGGTTAAATTGGTCTAGATTTTTTCCAAATGTTTTCGGGTTAGATTAAAATTAAAAATCTTAATCAAAATGACTAAACCTTAAACTAAAAAACTAATGATATCTAAACATTAAATTGTAAACCATCAATCGTAGATGTTAAACCTTCTAAATCATTAATCATAAAAAATTTCTCCCTAAAATGAAAATCGTAATTTATAAACCATATATACCTAAATCGTAGAATATAAACACTAATGATATATATATATATATAATCATTAATAATATTTATATGATAAAATATAAAATAAAAATACATAAAATAGAATGAAATAAAGTATAAGAAAATAAAATCACCAAAATTGAAATATTAGAAAATACAATTATATAATTAATAGTCAAAGTTAAGTGATGATAAAAGAGATGAAAGTTTTTTTCCTATTGTGGCCTAGGTTTCTGCAATGCTCATATCTTATAGGTTCTTTTGATGTCTCCTGAATATCCATATCACAATGAATTCGAGTGGATTTTGAGCAACCTAACTCCCTTAATAACAATGAATATGGTGTAATTGTATGCCAAGTCTGAATCTCATTTGGGTCTTTTTCATTACCTATGGGGGAACTCAAATTCATATACCTTGAATACTTGTGAAAGTTGGTATACAGGATCAACATAACTTTTATAGTACAAATGGGAATATGAGTAAGCTGCTATGACATGAGAGCATAAATACTTTAGAGCTTGAAAAAACCACAATCACACCACCTTTCTTGTAGATTAACTCTCAAAGAGTTAGACTCAATCCCTTGAAGAGGTCGTGGCATTTCTGTCACACGAAATAATTCATGGGTGCGGGAAAAATTTGTTATCAACATTCCATTTGATGTTGTAACTTTTTCTATAGATCTACTACTAATCTTGGGTGATAAAAATGGTCGTTTTGCATCCAAGTAAGAGCTTGTCCGTCAAGCTTCGCAAAAAGTTTACCCAAATGAAAACACGTCATTTTAACCAAGCAGTTACAAGTAAATGATGTGCTCCCATTTAAGGTTTAATTGATAGCATCAGCTAAGTTGATTGTCATATGACTATATCGATATTCACCATCTTATGCATTTGTCCACATTTCTTTGTTGATGGTTCTGATGTAATTGTATCATTGCTCTTTTTTGCTTGCAACTCTTAGTGCATAAATTCAAATCTTTGAGGTAAGTGTTCGTAACCTAAGCCATAGGTACTAGTCAGTGGGAACTAAAAATAAATAAAATGAAATGTTTGAGAAATGAAATTGAAAATATAGCATAAACATGCGTATAAGTAAGTGACGTTCATCATTCTTCTTATATTTTCCATGGTAGTTTGCAGCAATACGTCGGATACAATAATATGTTGGACCTATGGGGGTTTCCACATTGTACCCAAAGAGTCTATTATTGTTTTGATCCCAGCTTTGCAGTATGAAATGATGTCATGACAACATGTAACCGTAAATTTTCAGGAAAAAACACAAGATTATATATATTCTCCTTCAACAAGGACAAATGCAACAGAAATAATGTTGTGGTTACCATCTTGGATAACCGCCAATAATAAAATTTTTTTATATTTTTATACAATAATGTACTATCAACCTAGACTATCGGTTTACAGTATTTCACCGCATTAATGCATTGTGGGTAAGTCCAAAAAAACTCATTAGAATTGGCATTGATCTTGAACCACTCGATCATTCTCATGTGCATGGTGAGTTTCGAACTTAACTATTGTCCTAGGATTCAATCTTTCCATTATTTTAAACCAATTGGGTTGCTCGTTGTAAGATGAATCTTACTCGCCATGAAGTTTTATCATGGCATTATGTTTTGCCTTCCATGTTTTTCTGTAGGAGATGGTGTACCCATATTAAGATTGTATAGTAGTAATCAGCAATGTGATAGCTTTGTGAAAGCTTTCTTTGACCATGGGCATGATGACTTGGCAAATAATGTTAGAATCTAATATTGGATGGTTCTGGTTGATCCCTCTTGCACAATATGTATGAGGACTTTTGTATCTTGTTAATTCTCATATATTGTTCTTCCTCTTCCTCTTTGATACACGAACCATCCAGTTGCATCTATTATCACGTTGGACATGTTAGATTATTCCCAAAGACCAATCATGTAATGATTGTAATGATACATTTTCTTTACCAATTTTATTGAATAAAGGCATTGCCATTATTATTTTCAATTATACTTTCGTGTCTCAAATAAACTGAAAGATAATAAAAGTCCATATAATAAATATGATTATTATTAAAGATCCTTAGTTAAGTATTATTATGGGTATGGACAATAATAATGCGTTTAAGGCTAACATGGAGTTGATTGATGACAACGAGTTGTCATTGACATAGAGATGTCAAAATCGATACATGAGTATGTTTTTAAAGAACAATATATTGGATTAACCCGCAATAAGCATATGTCTTGGATTATTATGTGATTGTCGAAACATTGCTCATGGTGATAACTACATGTATGATCCTCATACTTGAGATCATTACTATCTCAACCTATATAGTTGTATATTTTGACACAGTTAAGCATGCTCCGTAACTGGATGTACTATAAAGATTGATGTTGAACATATCACATGCCACTTGATTGAGTGAGACTAGAAATGCATGATCATGCTCGAAAAAATTGATATGATATATCACAAGTTGTTCGTTTATTAAAGTCTACGTTAGATATCAAGAAATTTTAGATGGGCTATACGAGTGTGACTGTTTCAAGACTTGTGTCTATTCTAGATGTAAAGGACAAAATGATATAGTACATAAAAGATTTAGACACGAAGATGTTATGTCGAATCATGGTTTCTTGTAACTTATATGACAATGATTCATTGCTAAATGTCACTCATTGTTTATAATAATAGAATAGTTATAATAATTGCTACTAATGTTACAGGAACCTACAAGGTCACAACCCAAGGTTGAAACGAGCAATTTTAAATGAGTCATATTTGTACAATTTTATTGTGCATGAATGAAATATATAATTAAAGTTAGTATATATTTAATATATATGTAATTTTAATTATTCTGAATATAATAAATAAATATTAAAAGAATATAATTATGAATATAATTATTTCAATAAATATAAAATTCAAAATAATAAAGAAATTCGAAATAAAACCATATGGGTTAGGGTTATTATTGTATAAAACGATTATGATGGCCTAGCATCC